ATAGGTTGGATTAACTGGAGTAGAAACATTTCTCTTAGCAAATTGAAAGTTCATTGAGCTTAGTAAATACACTAAAACTGTCTTTTTGTTTTCAATTTCCCGTGCACATTGGTGAATATGCAGGTCAGTGACTCAGACAGCACTGAGACCAAAGTATTTGCAATGGCAGCCTTTCATATTTCTCTCATGACCAGTTTCCTTTAAAACTGAACTCCAGAATAAGCAAATATTGTCTAAATACAAGAGACATGTGCTCTCTTACTTGAATCTTTGTGTGCTTTGTGCATTTCTTCCAGATCTGTGCATTAATCAGTGAAAAGAGTTTCCTGCAATGAAGACCAGTCATTGCTGCTGTGACCTCTTGTGCAGGGTGACTGGTCTTGCATCCGTCCCTTTCCTCCAGTTTTCTGGAGTCTGCATGTAGCGGGTGGGCCTGCTGGGTCCCTCCCTCAGCTCTGCTCTCTGCACAGGTTCTGTACAGTGATGATATCACCGTAAACTTTTACAAAGTAATATATAGGTTTACAAAGGCATTTGGTGCACACATCATGGATGTATATCCTTTGTGGCTATTGAGGAATATATTTAAATGAATATGCTTGTCCCCAGTATACATGTGTGATTTGTTTTCTTCAGAATCAAAATTTGTATATGAATTTTCCGAAATTCGGCTATTCGGGCATATCCCAATGCATTCAAATGTGTCGGAATCCAAATTTCTGTTTTCGAATTTCTGATCCCGTCCGATAGTCGTTCAAAAACTAAACTGAATCGGACATGTGACTTTTCTGGCCAATCAGATGTGTTTTACGGTTTAATGCATCCAAATGGGTCTGAACACGAATTTTCGTTATGGCAACATAGGAGTCATATACAGTATATACATATAATACTAAAGCTGAGGCTGCCAGAACCGAACGGCATTCAGTACCCGAATTTCCAAATTGCATTTGGGTCTGAGAGGCTCAGTTCAAGTAATATATGTATATGGTTGCCAGGCCTGAATGGCATTCAAGATCCGAATTTCTGAGTTGCATCCGGGAGCTCCTGAATGACATTCGGGTCTGGGAGCCTCAGCTTTAGTAATGTATGTTTATGGCTCCCAGACCCGAATGGCATTCGGGAGCTCCAAAATGCAATTCAGAAATTCGGTCCCCGAATGCCATTTGGATTTAGGAGATTCAGCTTTAGTATTAATATCTGTTTTAAGTAGTATTCACAATGACTATTCGGAAACTCATCCGAAACTAACGAAAATTCGGATTTCACCTGAATCGGAAACCCGAACCGAATTTTGGATCCAAATCCGAATCCTGAAATAACGAAATATCCGAACCGCACCAAACCTATTTTTTCCACAGCTTACATGTCTAGTCCTCAGAGTTCAGCTTTAACATTATACCAAGCCATCTTACATGGTCCATGCTATTCTGAACACATTGTTGTATTTCTGATCTGCACTGTTTCCAGAGCTGATATCTTTTATTGGATGATACATGGTGCAGAACTTCTGCTGGATTATCAACTTTTGTGAATGCTCAGCTTCAAGGTAATCTGACTTGCCAGCTATCATAAAAGCCTCTGATGGAAGTTGTTATTCTTTAACCTCAGCGTTATACTAATTCTGGTACAATGTACTGTAGTTGGCGGTCAGCCAGATGGGTTGGTGAGTACTGCTGCAGGAATTATAAGGTAAATATTAGGTTCCCTTTGTATCACTCTTGAAGCTACTTAGACATTTAGGGTTTAATTTCTTCAGCCAAATGAATATCGTAATCCATTTTTTGAAATTCTCCTTTATTTAACTGGGTGTTTGCAGTGACTAAAGGTTTCCAAAACCAGCAAGAACATTACTGACCCTCTTAATATGTTATGGGACATGCTACATAGATATAAACATACAGAAGACTATCTATGTGAGAGAGTGCATGAGGCGACAGAGATGTTAGTTACCTGTAAACAGTTGCACATGATGTGCAGTTGTAAACAACTCTAGTATGAACCTGTCTGACAGGTCAGAAAACGATACCTTTGTGTAACATTTACAGTACTACCATGGAAGCCAAAATAGTTTTCCTTGTAACTAGGAGATCATTTTACCCTACATCAAGGACAGGGTCTGCTGGTTCCCCCACTCCATCAGAGGCAGGTACACAAGGTGTGACCTGTGTGTAGAAAAAAAAGTCATACTTCTGACCTAACCAGAGGTGAGTGCACCAGTTTGCACAAGCCAGGGTTTAGAAGCCCCCATATGGAAGCATGGATGGAGCAGATCAGTCAGAAAGGGGCACCATTGAACACAATAGGGGCACAATTAGTAGTATCAAGTCAGTTTGCTGCTTGTCCTGTTGGTGGTGTAACCCTGTACCTTAAAGAGTATAACATCTAAAGGATTTTTGGATAAAGTGGTAACCCTCCGTGCATACGTTTAATTAAAATGTAACTATAACGAAAGCTTTTTCTTTTAGTTTTGAAAAGACAAGTGAATGATTTAAAGCCCTGTCAGGTTTAACTGCTATCAAAGGCTCTGCTAGAGAGATTTCCCCACTTCCTGTTCTGGAGACAACATTTAACCAGATAGGAAGTGAGGAAAACAGGGACACAGACAACAGTGAAAAGTTGACTGGGGTTCTAGCATTCCCCTGGCTTAAAACATGTTTACTTTTCCCTGTGGTACTTTTCTTCTTGCTTCCTGTGCTGGGGACAACCTTTTTACCCAGGAAGAGAAGGAAACTCTGATGGCAGTTAAACGTGGCAGTAGTTCTATTCCTTCTGCACTATATCCAATGCTCCCCCCTTAAAACTGACATATCCAAGGCTCCAATAGATAGATGTCCCCAATTGTCACGGTGACAATTTCTTTCTTATTGTCAGGGTGGCAACCAGACAGGAAGTGAAGGTAGATCTGCAACAGTGGCGCAACATAGGGTTCCAGCCTTTTCCTACTTTACTAAGAAAATGCCCTTTATACTTCTGTCTATGTTCAAGATTTCCCCTCTCCTACTGCCATGGTGAAAACCAGACAGGAAGTGATGGTAGATCTTCAAAAGGGGCACAGACAGCAATAAAATAATGATGGCGGTCTAGCCTTCTCTAACTGTACTAAAAAAACCATAAACCCTTCTATATTTGTGTCTATGTTGACGATTTTCCACTCACTTCCTGTGTGATAAACCTATTGTCACCATGACAGTATACAGGAATATATCTAATGGAGGCCTGGCTGGCAGTAAAAAGCTGACAGAAGCTATCATTCTTCTCCACTACTCAAAACCCCAAAAAACAGCTTTGTTGGACATACTCCTTAAAGAGGAACTCCAGCATTTAACAAAATTAACCCTTCCAGTGGAGCTACCCCTGCATTGCAAGGGTTAACTGCTTGTTTTGGTCTAGGGGATTGGAATGCAGATGATATACTCACCTGATCCTCGGTCCCGCAGTAGTCAGTGCACACCTCTTTCCCCCTCCGGCTGTGGTATGTTCTTCAGCATCCTCATGTCTAATGCAAGTGAAAGGACTTGTTTTAGATGTGATGACGCCAGCAGGGCTTGGGCTGCCGAAGCACGGGGGAGAAGAGGCTGCAGGGACCGGTCTAACAGCCAAGCAGGATCAGGGAATTATATCTTCTTTAAGGAGCCCCTACACCAAAATGAGCAGGTAACCCTTGAAGTCCAGTGATAGCCCCACTGCAAGGGTTAATTTTGTTAATTCCTCTTTAACTTACTTCTTCAGAGACAAAATGTTGATACAGCTGAAATAAAAAAAGAAAATCTTCATAATACTTCAAAATAAAAAAAAATATTAGTTTTTTATGCTGATTTGCTTTAAGATAATGTCTCTTGGATCATACCTAAAAATGTAACATTTCAGAGCTCAGCAGCTTAACTTTTTATAATCTAGTCTATTAAAGGGAAGCCTATTCAGAAACAGCCTGTGTCTGTTCTGGAAGAATATCAGATTTTGAACTTTGCTTCTTAATGACATCCCTCAGTTGCTGGGTTTGCTGTAACTTGTAGTTTTTAATTAGCTGGAAATTCAATGACCTGCCTCTGCTAGCCATCAACAGCACAAAACTACATTAGCCATATTATCTGCTAAATGACTTGTATGAAAAATGAACACATGCAGTATATTCCTTGGAAATATGTTTACAATATGTAAATGTAATATTAACATCATCATAAATAATAAGCAACCAGTTATGCCTAGCAAGATACCATTATCAAGAAAAACTCCGCCCATTACTAGCACATCGGTGCCTATGGGATCAGTGTTTTAGATGGAATTCAATTCATCTATAGCGAAGTACAGAAGATGATTTACAATACAAAAACACTCTGTATCAACTTACAGTCAACAGGTGAATTCATTTCCAAACTGGATGGTGCAATAAACCTTTTTTTAAAAAACAAATATTAGACATCAGAAAGGGAAGGCTATTTATTCTGTAAACATAGACACAAACAGGATACATAAAAGTAAACTTAAATACTTCCTAGCCCATATCCCAGTATTTACAGACAGATTCAAAGACAGGATGCCAAGAGCAATAACACTGAGTGATAATAACACAGATTGACCAATCAGATTTCACCTTTCGGATCCCTAAGAGAAATGGAAGGCTTGTGTACAGTAATCGATATGGTTGCATTAAAAAAAAATCCTCCATTATTTTGAAAGAAATACGTCTTCCAGAAAATCAAAGCTAAATTGAAACATTACCAGGTAGATCTATATAAAATATTTTTAAGGCATTACCATATCATTGTTTTATTTTTTTTTATAGATGTTGATTAAACTGGATTTTTTTTATATTGTATAAATGTCTGTTTTTCAAACAGTAAGTATGTAATCTTAGTTACTTTAGGACACAAGGAGAATGGCAAATCATGACAAGACGGGTTATATTAAATCGTTTATTTGTAAAAGTGCAAAATAAAATCATTAAAAAACAATCTTATATATAAAAACAAATTGTTGCTTTATACAAAGGGTCCGTGTACATGTACACAATAATGAACATAGGTTCCATTGTATTCAATGAAGACTGATGATCAAATGGAATTTGATCTCAATGAGTTGTTCTGGAAAGACATAGCAGTTCATATGTAATAATTTACATAAATTAATCACTACGTACATTATTTATAGTTCTTCCTATACAGTCCAAAGTCTGAAACGACTTGAAGGGTGTATGATTCCCCAGCTGGAAATAAATGTGACAACACACTGTTGCAGCAGATGACAGTTGAGTCTATCTCATACACTGGGATAGTTGCAGTAGTAGACAGTGGTGCTGGCATCAGACAGGACAGAGGATATCAGGCCATTCTCTGAAGTGAGCACAGGCTGCTCCTGTCCATGGTAATGCATTCCGACATCTGGCTTTGGCACATAACTCAGATACTGCTCAAACTCAGTCCTGTCCACCTCAGTCATCATTTCAGGCTGCTGCACCTGCTCTGCTCTGCCCAGCTGCTGGGACTCTGGAGGAGGGGACGGCTGCCCACTTTGTGCCACTGCATGATGCCTTCCAGCACTGGGAATGTACATTTGGCTATAATACATTTGTGGTGGGCTCTGGCATCCCATCATGCTCTGCACAGGGCTGCCTTGCCCCATTTGCTCGGCCTGTGCCATCTGTCTGGCAAGCATGCTGTTTGCAGGACTTTGCTGGTGGGAAGGGTATGCAGCATTGTAGCTGTATGGCATTATCTGGCATTCTTCCTGGACAGGAGAGGTGAAGAACACAGAGTCATTTTCTGGCATGTCCAGAGGAGAAGTCTCAGGGGTGGGTAGGTTGTAGCTGTCATAATGGGCACCTATTACCTGAGGCTCCCTATAGTGGCTGCTCTGAGGATGCTGAGTGTGGTGGTGGTGGTAGGGTGGCTCCGGGTAGCCCAAATTAAAGTTGTCCACACACATCCGCCCATCAGTGCTCAGGACTACTGGGTCAGCCTGCTCGGACATATGCATGAAGCCATTATCTGCCCTCTTCATCCTCTTCACCTGCTTCCTCCTCCTTGGTCTGTACTTGTAATTGGGATGGTCCTGCATGTGCTGTACCCTCAGTCTCTCCGCTTCTTCCACAAATGGACGCTTCTCAGCCAGGGTCAAAGACTTCCATGACTTCCCTGCAAATCACAAGAGAAACCACACAATCAACATGATGATAAGAACAGCACATGTGAGCTAACTTCCTACTAGGTGTCCCATTCAGGGAAATACAATGTCCTAATATTCAATTTTTAAAATATATTTATAGATAAAGTGCATATTAAATAAATGTAGTACTATTCAGCAATATAAACCAGTAAATGTATAGCACATCTATTCTCATTCTATGTCAATACACAGCAGATCATGGTATAGAAGAAAAATAATTCAAATAAAGGAATGCAATGATTTAAAATACCCCCCTGCATGTAAGAAGTATTTATATATTCATATAATTGTTGGTTAGTATAAGGCAAGCATTCATTATTTCATTGGGAACACATTTGTTAATTTTAACGAATTTACTATGAAGTTTAAAAAAAATAAATCTTTGCTATATAAAGCATCTATAAATGCCTAATCCTGCCTATAGATAATGTATATGGAGTAATCTTGATAATATTACAGCTATAGAATGCGCATGTCTAATCTACATAATACTGTAACATACACTGTAATCAGAAGAAAATAACCATGTCACCGTCTTATCTCACATCCCTCTCAAATTATAATACCGTATATACAAATGATGATCATTTGCAATTATGTATATATTATAGACACATCACTCAGAAATGATCAGAATGTATCGAGTTGTCAAAAATAGCAATAGCCGCTAAACTAACACTGACTGATTACAGAAATAGAAGAAGAGTCATAAGAGGAAACACAGAACTCTTGAGAGGAGGTCAGGTTTAGAGGCTATTCATTATAAGCACTAACAAGGCTACAATGTCATAGATCTACAGTTATTATATCAATATAAAATATAAAGTTAAAGAAATGATCATGAAGTATACCCAGGTGCCCTCAAATTACCCCCCCCCACGCCCCCCCATATCCCAAGCCCGATGCTCCTTACCTAGCATTTTGCTGAGTTCTGCATTGTGGAGGTCCGGGTTCTGTTGGGCCAGTCTCTTGCGCTCATCTTTAGCCCACACCATAAAGGCGTTCATAGGACGGCGGATCCGAGCCTCGGCTTTGCCCCTGCTGGCAGATCCCGGTTCGCATTTGATTTTGGCTTCCCCCATGGCGCTCATGGTGTCCGTCCACTGGCACTGACCCAGCCCGGGCATCATCATTGGCACTGAGCACTTTCCCTGGATCTGGTCGTCACTGGCGTATCCACCGTCAGGGCTGCTCATGTCTGGAGAGGAGGATCACTGCGCACAGCTACTGGCCAGATCGCTGCGCTCACTCTGCTGGGACTTGTGTCTGCCCTGAGGACACCCTCTGCCTTCTATAACCACAACGCCGGCCAATCAGCGCGCGGGGGCGGAGCTGCCGTGGAAAGGTGTGAAGGGCGGGTGTGCGGTCTGTGCTGGTGTTTCTGGCGCCGGGTGAATCTGGCCCCGCCCCCTGTACCCTGAAAGTGACACCTGCACCGATGAGCGCTGCGAGGCGCGGAGTATTCCTTTTGCAACCGAGAATCCATTCCTCTGCCTCGCATCACAAACCTTCTACACCTAACAGAATGCTGCATTTGGTTTATGTCAAATTCACCAAGCAGTAATAATCTCCGGCCATTCTTCTGACTGCATTATATTCATCGGTACTAATTACCCTTCTGTACCCCAAGTAATAGCGCGTATATGTATAAAAGCTGGAAAGGTCTATACTGTATTATATAAAGTCCCCGGCTGAAAAGAAATAGACATCGGGTGGCATCGGGGGAACCTGCTGGACTGCCAAAATAATACAGTATAGTACAGATAGATGTTTGCTGCCA